TAGTTCTACTGCGGATATTCTCATTCCTAAGTTTATCACGCAGAGGAACTCCAAGCATAGCCTTATCTATAGCTCGCTGAGCGACTTTGAGCTTCCTCGTAAGGCCAGCAGTGAAGGACGACGTCTTAAATTAATATGTCAGCACTGACAACATCCACTGGTTGTACAATCTCATTTTCAAGTTTTGCGGTGTATCTGACGAGGAAATGTGTCGTAATATCTAGACATGAGCTCAATATTCGTTCACATTTCAGGGACCCTTTTTACTGGAAACGAGGCATTCCATCTTAGTCCTCACGGGTGTAAACGCATCTTCATTTTGATATGTAATCGAGGATAGATGTTGATATCTATTGGCCGCAGCAACCACTTACCATTATGTGGACTGTGTGCTAGTTTGTTACTCTATCTTATAAAAAATATTCGCTATTCGGCATATTCGGCATCTTTAACGAATATTCCGGAGCTTAACCGAATATTCGTATTCGGCCAAATATTCGGCTAAATCACCGAACAATCGTTAAAGTGGTACTCAAAATGTCCACTGTATAGAAATGTACGTAATGAGTAATGCCATATCTTTCATAATTTCAGTGTTGAAAGTATATACAAGTAGATAGCGTTATTTTTTGAGGCACTGTACCTGTGTACATTGTGTGTTTTTGGAATTAAACAAAGAAACATTACATTACATTAGTACATTCCACTTTAATTTGGTTATTTTCTCTAAAATGAGTCCAAATAGTAGATCTCCTGCCACTCATTTTTATCATATAATTATCAATTTTCACTAAGAATAACACAACGAAATACTTTTTTTTCTCACAAAAATAGTCAAAACATAAGCATGTCCCGGTAATTTACTCAGTATCAGATGAAGCAATAACATGTCGGGTGTGGCGGGGGAGCGAGGGACGGGGTCCGGCGCTAGGCTATCAGTTTTACAACAATCACGGTGGTAATTGATGAATGTAATGTAGTGATTGATGCCTGCGTGAGCGCGTAATGTACGCCTATCAGTCACCATCTGGTTTTATTAATCATGATTTATGGAACTGATTGACGCCTGATGGGGGAGTAGCGGTTACAAGTTTTGACATAAATTTGTTAGGTACCAATGTGATCCTGCCGAATAGTGTTCGGCCGAATATTCCGGTTCGGTAAAAGTTTTACCTAACTTTCTGACGAATATTTGTATTCGGTGAAATCCATATTCGGCTCATCTCTAGTAATATCGCGAACGTTGCCCAGCCAAGTGGAATCTTTCGATTGACCACTCGGTTGAAGTGGAACTTTTTAACCAGACTCTTTGTCCGAAGTAAACATAGTCGTCAACAACTTTGAACTAAGTGCTACCAACAACCATCGACATAGGTGTTACACACGACTTTTATTTTTCCATGTTCATCTTAAGACCTATTTGCTGAGAGTCTACTGACGTCATTGAGCATAGTGCTTAGGTCCTCCAACTATTCTGCTATAACGAGTATATTAGATGGCAAATCGAAGGTAAGTGATGTACTCGCAGTTGATATTAATTGTTAATACCGTATCTGTCCAGTCCAGTACCTTGAAAACGTATTCGAATGCTGCGGTAAATAGGTGTATAACACGTCTCTGTAGTTGAATAGTTTTCGTACTCCGGTTCTGTACACGGATAGCCATTGTAGCCCTAATGCACAAATACTTCAGCACTTCGATATACCGACAGTCACCTTCGCACCATTGAAGGTACTGCAATATCGCCCAAATTTCGACGGAATCAAAAGCATTAAAAGTTTATTATGTTATTTTATCTATATATTAATTTTTGTGTACAAAAATGGTTCGTTTCAAAATAAAGTTTTTTTATTTTTTCTTAGTCTGGTCATTAAAACGGTACAATTTGAAAATTACGTGAACGTTTGCCCATTTGTCTAAATCCTTAACCTCACTGAACGTTTTTTACTTTTCTAGAATAAAACTTATCTATTTTATTTATTATTTGCTAATTTTACGTTATTTGCTAAAACAATAAACAAACAACCCTGTATCGATTTCTGACCGCACTAATAAATTTCTTTAATGTTTTTTAATGTGCGGTGAAAGAAATTATAGTGAGGAAACCCTAATTTTTTACCAAACTAATGTAGAAAACGAACACACAGTCCACGTGATCGTAAGTTAATGCTGCGGCCTATGGACATCTATATCTGTTTCCGATAAGGAATCAAATGCCGATGCGTTGTCATATCTGAGAGCTATATCTTAGTTCTCAGATATAACAACGAAGACAAGTAGAATGGTTCGTTAATATTCGAAAGGCTCTTCGGTTTTCCACATTTATCATACAAAAACAGCAACTTCAAGCCGTTATTTTTCACTAGTATTCTGTGAGAGCGTGATTTTTTCCCTGTCAAGCCGACCCATTCGTGATGCAAACAATAAATACTGCAGCGTGACTGTACCATGATGTACGTTGTATCTGCATGTCCTACATTATCCTATAACATTTTCAGTAAGGACCGCACTCAGCTATGGGAAGCTGTATCTTTATTTTAACTTTGTTATACAAGCGTCAAATTTCAATTTAATTTATTTCATTCGCCACGATTCTTACAAAGAAAATTCATAACTACATTAAATTTAATCAAAATAAATGGCAAATGGTTTAATATTGCAAAAGTTAACTTTGAGAATCTCAAGACACAACGCATTAACTTTGAAAGTTGATAAAACAAACATTTTAAGGTTTTAACAGAGGTTCGGTTTGGAAGTAGAAACTTTGGTAGGTAGTAGTACCTACCTGTGATATGATCATAAATGATGGTTATATTAATGAACAAGTCTTTAAAAGAAAGGGGTGTGAAAGTGAACGCAAGTTAGATTAAAGTTATGGTTTTTGAAAGAGAAGAAAGTAAAACGATATGTGAAAGAAGAATAGAAGGGGAGTTGGTGGAGCAAGTAGATGAGTTATTATATTTGGGATATCTATTCATCAGGGATGGGAGATATGATAAGGATATATATAATAATAACATAGAACGACGAGTGAACGCAGGAAATAAAGTAAAGGGGCTCTCCATATGTGCCCGCGAAAGCCGCAAAGGCCTCTTCATATTCCCACACGAATCGCGGCACGAATCACACCGTGAACCGTAATTCGAAGCAAACATCGTGGCAAGAACTGTTTTTGGCTCCATTATAGCAAAGGTTCACGTTAGGTTCACAGTTTAGTGAGAATGAATGAATGAAAAATATGAACCTAACGCGAACTTGTATGAACAAGGATGGCCATCGAAGTTGTTACTTCGGGTGCTGGGCTACTTAGCGCATTAGCGATTAAGAATTACGCTTCAAAAAAATAAAAAGAAACGAAGAAAACGAAGATTTCAATATCTTCGTTTTCTTTGTTTCTTTTTGCTAACCATCCACCGAAACAGAACAAGATATTATGTACATATAAAATTAAAGTAAAGTTACAGCCTTTATACGTCCCACAGCTGTACACAGACTCTTTCTCATTTCTAAGAAAGTTAGGGCAAGAAATGTCCACCGTTGATGAATTTCACATCTTCGAAATATTTTTTCTTATTTCTCAGAACTGCAGGTTTACTCACGATGTTTTCCTTCACCGCCAAGCACGTTGTAAATCAGCACTTAAAATGCAATTAACAATTTCATTTGTAACGGCGAAGATCGAACCCGTGATGTACATCTGATGTACAACTTTCTTATAAAGAAAGTAAGGATATTCCAAAAATGTGTTACTAAAGTAAGAATAGTGTTAAATTTACTTATGCTTCAGCTAAAATATAGCTTTTAGCAAGGATTAAACACACAATCGTATACTCATCAGTAAGCGCTTGAGCCGCATGCAAATGTGGAGTCTATCCGCGTTCAAGCCAATTTCACGCTTCGCTATCCCTGTGTCGCAGGCCAAAAAACCGACAAATTGGGGGAACTACTCGCGAAACAGGCGCGAAACCGTGATGAATACGCGAAATGGTTATACACTCATGTTCCGCGGGTGGCTCGCGGCTTCCCGCGGGGAATATGGAGAGGTCATGAAACGTAAGTGTAGATGGTTTCACGGATTCAAGTTCGCGCTTCGCACCGTACCCCGATCGGTGTCGGTTTTTTGTCCCGCGATAAAGGGTGCGCGCTTGGATCACGGCGTGTGAACGCGAACGCATCCACAGTCGTGGATTTTCGCAGTAGCGCACAAAACTTATTCGGTAGAGTTCTTGCGTATTTTTTTAATTTATTTTTTGAAAAAAGATGAGTAATACGTCGTGAAAAAAATGAATATGAGCTATAAGATATTATAATAGTAATGGTGGGGCAGATTGATGCGAATAATTTCAAAGTCACTTTTAAGTACTGAAATACCATTTAAGTGTATATTTTCTTAATTGATAAATCAATAAATATTATAAAAGTATTCAAAAGAAACTGTCTAATTAATGTATAAAAAAATATAAAGCTTTTAGTAAAAAATGGATTTGTATCATTGTGCCCCACCTACGGGGCACTTAGATACACTTCTTGTGTAAAAGTTGTATGGAATTATTATTAATTAAAAGACTAGTATGCTAATAATACTTTTATTTTTCAGAGATCACAATCAGCCTTACATTTATATGAATAAATCACATTTCGTAGCTTAACACGTAATTTTAACAATATATCTTCTTCATAGAAACTTTCCATAACTGTTACTTTATCCCAACAAAAAAACACGTATAAAAACGAGGAAAGACAAAGTCAGGAAGGGCAACACCTTTTGCTTGCTGTTAATATCCCGCAAAATGTAACTAGCTCTCCCCTTTCGGAAGACACCATTTGTTCTACTTGCCTCTGTATCTTTTCTATGTCAAACTTTAGGTGTAAATAAAACAGTAGTGACTCCAGTTTCGTCAAGGTTGTTGATACGGTCAGGAGCAAATATATAAATTATATATTACACGCTCACAATAATCAAAGAAATCATTCTCTGTTGTTCTAATAAATGAGAAAAATCATGCTGCGCTTGTATTTTCTGGGTTTCTGAGACTTAGCTCCTGGTTCCTCATTCCAAACCCTCTTGACCAGTTTTTCCCAGCACGTTTATTTTTCTTTGATGATTCTGGATATTTGACAACTGAGTATTTGGCAAATTCATAGGCCAAAACCAAAAGTTGCCGTAATGTTCTTAAATCCGTCGTGCATTTTGTTACAGTTAAATAATATTTTGTAAGCATCTTCTTTTCTTGTTTTGAAAATACTTGAGCAACAGTGTGTTTAGAACTGTATGATTTAGACGATGATGCTTGATTATTTTTAAAAGATTTCAGAAATTTCTCGATACGATATTGCAATGTTGCTGTTTTGATGTTATACTTACCAGCTACTACACGTGTAGATAATTTTTTCAATATAACGTCGGATATAGCAGTCTTCATATTTTCTTCGTTTATATTGCATCGTTCAGTCTTTGGTTTATAGGTCCACACCATTTTCTGAAAAAAAAAGGAATCGGTAATTAAAAAAAATACATCGGGGAAGAATGATACACATCAAAGTGCCCCAGAGATTACCGTATGATTGTGCCCCAACAGAAGTTTTTGTAAAACGTTAACATCATGTTTATTTATGTTTATTTATTGACCAAAAAACATTAAACTGATATTTATGGATAGAATAGCTCGCCTTTAGTATGCATACATATTTCGAAGGAGTTGTAGAAAGTGGGTGAGAAACTCTTTTTCATTCCACGTGTTTTTTTTAGTATGGCGAACACAGAACACATAAACGATCTCGTCTAACGCCATCGGTTAACTGGATGGCGGTGTGGCTTCAAGTTCCATGCTGTGACAGTAATAGCCAAGTTATATTGTTATCACCACTCGATTTCATCTAATCCATTATGATATACTCGTATGTTAGGTGAATCAATCTGCCCCTTGCATCAAACTGCTCCGCCTCCCCTTACGCTACAGCAAATATCGTCACAGCGGCAGCAACCACCATATCGTCGTTCATTGTCTTTGAGACCACGAACCAAACTGCAAAAACTTTGCCAGTGTGGAGGAACACCAAGTTTACAGCGTGAATCGCGCGCGAGTGTAGAAGCGCATTTAGGAAATATTTATTTTAGTTATTTATATTAAAGCAAACGATGTAATCTCTAGTAGAAGCCTATCTATGTTCAGACTTTGTTAAGCTGTAATGGTAAAAGTAATATATAATTTATACTTTAATTTGTACTTGCGACTTGCGTTACTTTAACTTCATTTTCAACCGACGATAAAATGGAGGAGGTACTCAATTCGACGCGTATATTTTTTTATGTATGACCACGCATAACTTTTTACAGGGTAGTCCGATTTTATTATCTCTTTTTTATTGGATAGTGTATACCTCGAAATTCGTACCATATAAATTTGGAAAACAAATCAGGGGGGGTGAATTGGTCCCATATAAATTTGGAAAAAAAATTACCCCAAGGGTGAGAAAATAAGGGTGATTTAATACAGATTAGATCGATTTTGATATTTTTTTTATTGGATTGGGTTTACTTAAAGTTGGTTCATATATATTTGGAAAAAAATGTTTACCTTAAGGGTGGGAAAATAGGGGTGAATTATTAGAGAGTAGTCCGATTTTGATAATTCTTTTTAATGGCTAGGGTATATACCTCGAAATTGTTCTCATATATATTTAGAAAAAATTACCCTAAGGGTGGCAAATAGGGGTGATTTATTGTTTACTCACAGATTTTAATGCTGAGTTGTGTATTACAACATTACATAATAATTACACTACGTTACAAAAAACTTTGGACCCGTTAGTCTATTGTGTGTAGACCTCTCAGTCTCTGCATTTCTGATAAAGCTCGTTCATCGTGAGGTTTGTGTAATAGCTTATTTGGCTCTAGATCAGATAAAGTAATACCCTCATGTGATATTACCTAATTCAGTACCACATATGCCAGTCCTTTCGCAAACATTTTCTTTCCGAGGTCGATTACAGCTTTAAACAAATAATAGTTAAAGTAGGATTATATACACTTACAGTAGGATTATATATAACAGTTAATAGCTAAAGTATGGTAAGTAGCTTTTTTTAAAAGTAACCAAAAATTAAGCATGGAGTAATTAGTAGATTATAGCCACAAAAATTATTAAATAAAAACTTTTTACCAAAAAAATTAAACCGCCGAAAAAAAAACTGAAAAGTAAAAACTCGTAAACCTTTTTCTTTTACCTTAATAACTAAGATCTCTAGTATATATATATATATATATATATATATATATATATATATATTTATAATATTTGAGTCGTTGCCAAGCAATCAATGAACAAAAAGATCAATAAATAGCTTATTTTAAGAAATAATCGAAACAAATTAACAATGCAACGTGAAATGTAAAAATACGCCTTCTGCACGAACGCTGACAACGACGTCTGCCCTCACGTTGGCATTTTCCGTCGAAGGGGCGTATCGTGCCGCGCATCATGCTACGTAATTAATTAATTTGCTTGTTAGGCGCCGACTCAAAATAACTTAGGTATTTATGACCTTAGTTATTAATTGAGAACTCAAAATAATCACAAAAATATATTCTTAGGTACATTTACATTAGTTTAAGGACTGTGTTATTAAGATAAAAGAAAAAGGTTCATTATCTTTTACTTTTCAGTTTTTTTGGCGGTTTAATTTTTTTGGTAAAAGTTTATTTGTATTTGTAATTACACTTCTTGTACTTGTTTCACAATATTTATTTAAAATTATTTAATTAAAAACGCGACAAAATGCGACCGCTTTTACCTCTCATCATCATTTCTTCTCGTCCTATATTAAATTAAAAATTATAAATAAATATTGTGACACAATAAATATAAGTGTACATCCAAACCGCATTGTTTTTCTATATAACTTTCTCACTTCCATTTAAACTAGAAGATATTTTACTTAAGCCAGAAGAAGAGCCTACGCTTTTCTAAAAGGCCTGTAACGCAGTTGCTTTTTCTCTTGTGTTGTAGATGTAAACTATTTATTCAAATAAGACTGACAAACGAGCGCACAGTTGACGGTAAGTAAATGCCGTAGCCCAAAGACACGTACATTTTTTGTCGATTTAGAATGCAAATGCAGATGCATTGTCAATGAATAGTGTCTCCAGTTCTCGGTACACACTTTGAGCATACAGCAGCATTTAGCTAACGCTAGCTGAAAGTTTACACAAGTATGCTATGAGAGTGTGGTCCTTTCCCGGTCGAGTCAACCGTCGTACGTTCGTACTGCAACATGCACATACGTAAGGTGGTGTTAGTAATGTATACAGAAAGGGAGTGGAATATTTTTTTGGAGTTTGACTTTCCACGATTACTATGTGGGTATCTTCAAGGCAAGGGTGAATACACTTTGAAACATTAAGGCAGTGCGATATACCGTTCTGAGCTTCACCGCCGCTAACCACGATGTGAAATTGTAGCCAAATACTGGTTTTTAATAAGAAAAAAAAAGTTCACTCAAATCTTTGTACACGCTTAAGAAGATTCGAAACTTCTTCTTGAGTCAGAGGAAACTCATTATGAAACTTCACCTAGTAAACTAAAACATATTACAAAGCAAATAAAAATAATTAAACTTTTTCATACGTCAACTGTGCCTTTGATTGCGCTAACTCCTAAATAAAAATAATATATTACTTTCTTTTGTATACTTGGACAAACAAACACTATGTTGGAAATTTTGGGGACTGGATAAAACAGGTTATCAGGTTAATTCTATTTGTTAGGGATAGTTAGTAGGATAGTATAATTGCTTGTAGGTAAGAACAGGGCTGAAAGCGTCAAGCGAATGTTTGTCCGTTTTTAAGTCCGCCCGTAACTTTTGATCCTGTTTCTTGATTTAGACAATTGCTATATATCTCGATTTATTTATCATATTTGTAAGGAAAACATAAGTAATAATATAAAGTCAGCATAAACCGAACTGTTAAACTTGAGCCCTAAAAGACAAATCAAAACAAACATCTTGCATTTTGGCTGCGTAAAACATCATCCCAATACATCCCATTAGTGTCGTAATGGGAAATAAAACGGGAGTTAACATCAGCATCTCTCTGATAATTATTATTAAATAACTGGGGTTACCGAACCAACATACTCCTAAAAGGCAATCTAATGAAGAGGCCAAGTTTAGTTTTCAGATTTAAGATGAAACTGCTACATAATGATTTTTTAATTATAATAAATTACGCAATCTGGGAAGAGTCCTAACTGGACACTGTTGTCTTAATTAGTACATGTCCATCCTGGGACTAAGCAACTCAAGGATGTGCCAGCTCGTTTCCCTAACGGAATAAACGCCTCTGAATAACGTAACCAATTGCGGTCCCCTAATGTGCAAACGTAATACTCATCTGGGGAACTATGTACTCCGCCCAGAAGAAGTGAAATTGTTCACAGCTAAGCAACTCTTTCTATTCATTCAAGATATAAGGCTTAGCAGTGAACTACAGCCCTAGCAACGATCACAATAAATATATATAAAGGTCGCAGTGATATTGGTCACTTTCCCTAGACCTGTATAGTTGTTCGCACATAATAAAATAAACAAATTTTTCCTATTTGAGATTTTGTATCAATATATTTTTAAAAGAATGTGAAATCCGCATACCCGCATTTAGGCTACGATATAGACTTGCCCTTAAACCCTCTTAGAAATGAGTTATAACCTTTTACATCCTACAGCTGCGCACAGGTATCCTCATATTGTTTATACGTTTACGGAATGCTTAATCCGTCGTAAACATTGTTATATAACTGTTTGTAAAGTTTTCGATTTAATATAGCCTAGATCACACCTGGCATTGCTCGTTATTTGGCCATGAAGTTACATCACAATCAGTTGAGCCATTCTGAAAGTCAGCGAGGACAGACAGACGAAACATTTTAAAATGGTTATTTATGTCTTAAAAGCGTGTAAATAGCCCCTAAGTTTAATATAAGCCAGTTGTTTTAATATTACAGACATACCCTTCAATATTATTTCTATGATCTATAAGGATTATAATACTAGAGTAAGTGACTGATTATGTTAATTATTTTTAGTTTTATTCAAATGCAGTAGGATGAATTGTTTTTATGTATTTTTTGGAAATTATGTATTATGTTATATTATTTTTCATAAGTTAGTCGTAAAATGTATTTCAAAAATTAAAATGAATACAATACATTATTATAGAGTTCAAAACGAATAATCGACAACCCTGAAATTGACATAGCATAGTTGTTCCTGTTAAAGAAAACAGTGCCGTCCGTTTTTCGTGACCGCTATTATACAAATTAAAATAATGTTAGTGGAATTGTGAACGTTGTTAACGCGTTTATAGCGCGAATAATAAAGTTGGATAGGTTTCTGATGAAGTTTCGAATTAGGTTAGCGTTACATTTTGTTTGAAAACATTAATTTATTTTATCATTTTGTTCCGGAGTTTGCAATA